GATTTTCGAGGCTAGGAATGATGCCGTCAAGATATCTAATGATTGACAAGCTTTTTGTGCAAAACTCTTGACTTGTGAGACAGAGAGGAATGAGCTACAGCAAATCTATGCAACGAATGAAGAAAAGATTGAATCTCTCGAGATGTCTCAAGTTACTTTAGAAAAACTAATGATCAAAAAAGAAGAAAAGCTCAAGTATGCTATGGCTACTATTGATCTTTGGAAAAAAAGACCAAAGACTTTGGACAATATCATTGGGTATCAACAAATTTGTTCTGACAAGAGTGGCATTGGCTTTGGTGGTAAGAAAGGGCAAAAACAGAGTGCATCCACATCTCATGGTACTAGAACTCAAGGACAAGGGGAGCAAAAGATTCAACGAGAGGAAGGACTTCTCAATTTCTTAGAGTTGGTAAGGTCAAAGAAAAGAAGGTACACTCTATTTTTATTTGTCATCATTGTGGTATGTATGGTCATATTCGCCCTTATTGTTATGAGTTGCATGGGAGAGTGTCTCATAGAGATGGAAGAAATTCCAACATCTCGTGGGATAAGAGACATTTCATTAGTCGTAATGAGGTTAATGGTCATAATAGACCTTGCTATTTTGATGTGCTTGAGACCAAAGATGGAGCAAGATTGCATTTGCCTAGACCTAGAAATAGGAAGTTGGAAACCACGTCGAGACCGGTTCCTATTGAAGAGGAAGGGAATCACAACATCAAGACACCACCCAAGAACAACAATTCTCATAACTCTGTTCATACTAAAGCGGTTTGGGTGAGAAAACTTGACTTGTGTTAATTTGTTTATTCGTTTTAGTTTTTAGGTTTCTATGTGTTTTTTCTTTTTGGGTCATTTAATGTGTGGTATCATTTAATGTGAGTTGTTTTTATTTTTTATTTTTTTTTATATCTTGCTTTGTTTTACAAAAAGAGAAAAAAAAAAAAAAACCAAAAAGATTTTCTTAGTATGGTTTTGCAAGCTTGAAATTTTTGAGAAGTTCTTGTGGCATATTGGAATTGTTGAGAATATCCATTACTTGTTAATATGTGTGTGCTTTTTGTGGTCATTGCTCATTTTGGAGTGTGTGTTCTTTGATTAGTATGTCTCATTCTGTACACGCTCTTGGATTAGCAAATATTGGAGTCTTCTGCCTTAGTGATTTTTTTTTCTGTATGGACTTTTGGCATTGTTTCTTTTGCATTTCTAGATGAATTGACATATACTAGCACATCATGGATTATGTTGAGTCTCTTAACCACCTTCCATCTTTTTGCATCTCCACGACTTTCCTCTCCATTCTTTGTAGTTAAGGCATGAGGAAAAGGCTACCTCAGAGCCACCAACCAGGCTATCCTTATTGTCTCTATGTTTTTCTAGTTCGATTTCCATACTCTTGAGCGTATTAGCCGCCAATGAGTGTGCAAAAGAAAGAAACAAAAAATGTGCAAAAAAAAGAAAAGAAAAAAAAGTGTGCAAAAGAAAGAAAGAAAGGAAAAAAAAAAAAAGATTCATTGATTGAGGGGGAGCCTCCGTTTTTACTCACCAAATACTCCTTGATTTCTAGTGGTTTGACTTTCTTTAGTTGTGCTTAGATTCTCTTGCCGGAGGTCCAGCTTACAGAAAAAGAAAAGAAAAAAAAGTGTGCAAAAGAAAGAAAGAAAGAAAGAAAGGAAAAAAAAAAAAAAAAGATTCATTGATTGAGGGGGAGCCTCCGCTTTTACTCACCAAATACTCCTTGATTTCTAGTGGTTTGACTTTATTTAGTTGTGCTTAGATTCTCTTGCCGGAGGTCCAGCTTACAGATCGCTACTAGGATTTGAATCTAGTGTTTGTCGAACTCTAAGAGTCACGCATACACTTTTTTCATGGGATCTATGCTTTTCACATAACACATCTCTTTCTTTTATGAGGAATCTTCTAGAAACTGTGCACATTGTGTTTTCAAGTAATTGTGCTTCTTGGATAATTTTGTGTGTTTTAAGGTACAAATCTGAAATTCCTTACTTGCTCTACCATATTATTTTCCTTCTTGTTCATTGTTTTCAGTGTTTGTGGTTGCTTTTAGTGAGTGGGAGTTTGGTTAATCATTGCAAGTTTTTTTTTTTTTGCATGAACATATATTGGTTGGTTTGGTAAGGGAGATTGGCATTAGTTGGTTTACTTTGTTGCTATGCATTGCTTCTTTATTGTTTCTTTAGCTTCTTTTGCCAATTCGTAACAAAAAAAGGGAGCAATGTTGGCGGGTGGATGTGTTTTAGGATATCATGTATTTATGCTACATGTTCTGAAAATCTCTAATTTACATCTATTCATATTTCGATCTTACATTTCAAGATAATCTTGTCATATGTCTATTGCTTTTTCATATACTCTTGTGGCGCTAATAGTTGTTTTGGAGATTGTGACATTAATAGTTGTTTTGTAGATCTTTGAGTTTTATATACGAATCTAACCCAAATTGCGCCTTGCGAAGATGTTTCAGAAGTTAATTCTTTTATGTTTGCCACTTCGCTGACTATGTCGGGGATCGAGCTGTTTGGTCAGCTCGCAGGGGTTTAGGGGGCGGCACCCCTTGGCGGGTCTGGGGTAGCGCCTAGGCGGGGTCGAGGGGTATCACACCCGAAGCAAAATGCAAAAATGCATTCGAAGTTGCTTGTCCACTCGAGCAGCCGTTTGTGCGCTCGAGCAAAAAACGTTTGGTTCCAGAAGTTTAACCTGTCTGCAAAAGTACTGGAAATTAGGATTTTATGCTCGAGCGAACTTTTCTGCACTCGAGCGAGGTCTGCTTGAGCGGCCATTCTTGCACTCGAGCAGAGATCGCGGAACAGATTGCTATAAATATGTGTCTTAGTCAGATCTTAGGGTTATGACTTTTAGATCTTCTTTTTGGATATTAGGGTTTATATTTGGGGCTATTTTGCTTAGTTTCTTTGATGTTTAATTGAGTATTCAACTCATAGTTTAAGAAGTATACATCAAAGGATTGTTTGTTTATTCAATACAAAAGAGAGTGTTGTTCTTCGGTGGATTCCGGGGAATTCGAGCCTGAAGCTTTGGTGGATTCTGGAGTGGCTCATTGTCGTGACTCGACATCGGCGTTATGGATTCAACATTGGGCAAGACAATTCAGAGGTGAAGACGTACATTGGGGTCGATTCAATTCGGGCGTGGATTCGCTAGGTAATTGAGAGTACGCTTGTGTAATTTCTTTATTTCTTTTTAGTGGATTGTTTTGTGGCTTTTGCCTGTGATTTTTTTTATTACAATTGGAGGCGCTCCAATTGTGGTTTTTCCACGTAAAATCGTTGTATTGATTGTCTTTGATTGTTTGATTGGGATTGCTATTTACTCATTAAAATTGATACATAATCACAAATCAATATCTAAGAGATTTCTAGATTTTTCAGGGGTGTTATTGGGTATAAATTCCTAACTTTAATATTATAAGATTAAAAGTGACGAAGTTGACCAAGTATGAGATTTGGAGAAATAAGCAAGATTGAGTTGATGTGGTATGGTATTGGGTTCTTAGTTTTACTAGTTGAGTAATGTTATAATAATAATTTCATACTTCAAAATTTTTATGAGATATTTGAATTGTTTTGGCGGATTTTGACAAGAAAAGAAAAGAATATGATTTTAGCTTGTTTGGAACAAATAGGTGAATTGGATTAAAACAAAAATGAATTATCAAAACTTTTATATATTTATTATTTTTCTCGGTTTAATTTGATGGGGTTGATGTTGATAATTGGAAAGTGAACACTCGTGTCATATTTCGTATTTATAGTTAAGAGAAAATTTTGATATAATTGATCAAGTGATGGAAGATTCACTTATGCTTATTGAGAATTATGATTAAACTTGAAGATCTCAAAATTTTACTTGTATGAGAAAAATAGAAATTTGATTCTATTTAATGTTTGGGAAGGGGATGAGTTTTGAAAAGATTATAATTACATTTCATTGATAAAATATGTGGGTTAGAAATTAATGAAACCTTGAAACTGCTTTGGTGTTATATGTTATTGCTATTGATGAATCTATTGTTTAAAAGTTCTGGTTTTGGTAACCAGTAGAGGATTACCATGTTGGTATTTAAATGAGGAGATTCTTGGAAAGGTAAGAAAATGTTTGATTTTGGAAGTTTGTTTTATATAAAAAATATTGTTGAATTGTCTTGAAAAGACTAAGTTGGAAGTTATTGATTTACATGTGGTACATACATGAACATTGACATTATTTTATTATCTCTTGAAATTGTATCATGATATTACATTGATAGATAGGGGTGAGCATGGTCCGGATTGGACCGGATTGGGATAAAACCAGGACCAATCCGTTATCTACGGTTCTGTGTGGTGGAATTGAAATTGGAACTATCTTAATGTATTGTTACATATTACATTGCCATTCCATTTCATTATTATCATGGATTTTGAATTGCAATTGAAAATTAATGTTTCGAGAAAGGAATTGTTTTTGGGAAACAAGATCATTTGGATTTGGTTTGCGGTTTGTGCGGATAGGGTTCGCGGTTGTGCGGGCGGTTGCGGGTGGTTTGCGGATTGAACTTTTTTCAAAAATTATTTTTAAACCCTTTTTTTTCCTCCCATTTTGTCAATCTTTATTTTGGACATTTTTCCTCATATTTTATAAAATGCTCCAACATTAATAATTAATGAATTAAAACTTATAAAAAAACTAACAAAATAAAAAACACAACAAATTCAATTCGAAACCTAAACAAATCACTCAAAATCTACATTCATCATTAACTTACATTCATCCTACATTCATCATTCATAACTCAAATAAAAAAAAGTCCTACATTGAAAATTCTACATTTATCATTCCTAACCCAAATACAAAAAAAAAAAAAGAAAAAGAAAAAAGAAAATAATTCTTCATTAACTTACATTCATCCAAAATGCAAAAAAAAAATAAAAATTCATTAACTTACATTCATCCAAAACCAAAATGCAATTAAAAAAAAAAAAAAAATTGTTGTTAAACTTCATTCAATACAAACCCATGAAATAAAATAAAAACATTTCAATTCCAATCCTTCATTCACATGTTGTCAAACTTCATTCGCATCCAATCCAACTTTCACAAATTCGAATTCCAATTCCAATTCCATGCATTTGGTTGATGAACCCTACACAAAAATAAATTGAAAAAATATAAACTTTAATCTTCAATTATAGTAAAAAATGAAAAGATAAACAAATGTCTATATATTTCAACTCAATATAGAAAGAAAATGTGTTGATTATATAAAAAAATTACCAATGATCAAATGGATATTAGAGATCAATTATAGCATCAACATTATAGGTTGAAGTTGAAGATGAGCTTGACTCCAAAGTACCTAATTATGAATCAACAAAAGAAGATTAATAAAACTTACATTAGAAAATGAACAATAGAAATAAAAATGAAGATAAATAAATTCTCATTTACCCGAGTCATATTGCTCAAATTCCTCCACATCATCCATCGCCTTTCGAAGAGAAATTGGAAGGTTGCTTCGAAGCCAATTTTGAGTACATACAAGAGCTTCAACCATAGAAGGCGAGAGTGAACTACAAAATGGGTCAAGAAAACGCCCTCCCGTACTAAAAGCCAACTCCGATGCAACAGTACAAATAGGCATGGCCAACACATCCCTTGCAAGTTGTGATAACACCCTATATTTGGTTGCATTCACCTTCCAATAATCCAAAATCTCAAATGTTTGATTCTTTGCAAAATGTTCAACCTCGGATAAATATTGTTCCAATTCCGACTTAGATCCACTAGTGCATCGCCCCTCCAAATAGGAACTAAATTGGGAGTCAACTAAAGAATAGGGATCATCATCATCATCATCTTTGGTGATGAAAATGAAAAGGAAGGAATTCCTCGGGATTTGTAATGTTTCCGTACTGTTATGTAGGGATTGAGTCCCTAATCTGAATGATTGAATATTGTACATACTGTTCTGTACTGTTTATGTATGAATGCATGAAAAATCTTTTTGGCATACAGACTGTCACAGCTCAATGGACATTATTTATTTACTGTATTGGCTTCCGCCAGGCCCTGTACTCTGTTTTACTGTATTACTGTTCTGCAGGCCTTCGGTAATCTCGGATTACTGGCCGGTTACGGTGCTAAACCCATAGGGCCGGGTTTGGGTCGTGACATCCACCTTCCTATTATCTCCAAGAAATAAATTGGAAAAACAAAACTCCAAGTATGTTATTTTTTTGGTAGGATCAAGAACCACTGCAACATACAACAACAAATTGATTTTACTTCCATCCCCCCAATACTTGCTAAACTTTAGCTTCATAGTCTTTGCCATTGAGCTCAAAGTATCATCCTCCTCCAAAATTAATTGGTTAATTTTGCTTTCAATAACAAACATCTCTTTGTAAAAAGCATTGGAAGTAACAAAGAGAGACCCTGAAAATTTCTTAGTTGCAACATAAAATAATTTTAGAAACCTCAAAAAAATTCTACACTTTTTCCAATCCAATTCATTCGAACTTCTTCTTATGCCACCATTAACATCCATGAAATAAGGTTCGAAGTTGGAATCCACAAACTTCAATCGATTAAAAGCCTTCTCATACTTTTCGGCAGCCTCTAACATCAAATAGGTAGAGTTCCACATCGTTGGTACATCTAGGCATACAAGAGCTTTTGAATCAAGTTTGAGTGTGGCCGCACATTTCTTAAAAACATCATGCCTTTGAGGAGAAGACCTCACATATCTCACCGCAAGTCTAATGTTGGCAATAGAATCATCCATTTCTTTCAACCCATCACTCACAACGAGATTAAGAATATGTGCACAACAACGCATATGAATAAACTCATGTTGCAAAATAGTCCCCTTCCAATCTTTGGTTATCGTTTTCAAATATTGAATGGTAAGATTATTTGAACTAGCATTATCAACTGTTAAGGTGAATATGCTATCAATGTTCCACTCAATTAAACACGACTCAATTTTTCGACCCAATGTTTCTCCTTTGTGATCCTCAACTTGTTGAAAATTTATGATTCTTTTTTGAAGTTTCCAGTTATCATCAATGAAATGAGCAGTCAAACACATGTAACACAAATTCTGAATAGATGTCCAAGTGTCCGTAGTAAAGCAAATTCTACGACCCTTCATGGCCTTCTTTAACTTATCCCTTTCATTCTTGAATATGTTGAGCACTTCTCTAGATATGGTTTGACGAGAGGGAATTGGTGTGAATTTGGGTTGCATGACATTACAAAATCTTCTAAACCCAACACCCTCCACAAATCTAAATGGTAACTCATCAATGACCACCATTTCCGGAAGAGCCCTTTTACAAGTATCAAAATTAAAAATTGTTGTTACAACCTCAACACCCTCTTCATTTTGTTTCGGTTTAAGATTTAATGTTTGTTGACCATCTGTATCCCTATTTGGATATTCTTTACAATTGGGTGTATGACTCCTCAAATTGCTAGTCCCATGAAGTCTAGAGTCAGCCATATACTCTTTCTTACAATATTTACATACGGCTCTACGCTTCCCATCGGTCCCTACAACCTTGTCAAAATGATCCCAAACTGTGGATAGTGCTCTCCCCCCTCCACCCTCACCCTTTCTCTTTGGGGGTCTAGGAGGCTTAGGTTCAGGTTTAGGTTCGGGTTCGACTAAGAAGGGATTCATTTGAGAATTAGAGGATTCCGGAGGTACAAGATTGATTGCGGGAGATTGAATACTATCCTCCATTTAAACTGGATTACAAAAACAGTCACATATTCAATTTTAATTCAATCAAACAAATTAATTCAACAGATTTAATCAAAAATTAATTCAACAGATTTAATCAAACTGAATTAATCTGTCACAGTCACTAGTTTTTTATTAAAATTCAGTTTCTGATTAAAATTCCCTAAAACTCAATCTACATGTAAATCACAAATTAGTGTTACAAATAAAACTCATAAATAGAATAAACCCAAAAAATTAGTGATAGTATACAAAAACAGTCACAGATTAATTCAACAGATTTAATCAAAAATTAATTCCAAAAAATAAATTTATTTTTCATAACAGATTGAATTCCAAAAAAAACATCTGATTCAAATTTTAATTTTCATAACAGATTCATCACAGATTTAATTCAATCCAATACCATAGATTTAATTCAATCTAATACCACAGATTTAATTCAAAAAACACAGATCTGTTGCAACAAACAAAAAATAAATAAATAAACACAGATAGATCTAATCTATGAACTGATCCAATTTATACAGATCCAATAAATAAATAAACATAGATCCAAAACCAGAGAGTAAGAGACTGTGAGATGAGAGATAAATTACACAGATTAATTACACAGATTAATTCAATACAGATAAATTACACGGACAGATTTAAATCAAAAAATCTGTTGCTTAAATCAAAGATATATTCCAAACAAACAAACACAGATAGAGATCAGGGCGAGAGAGAGAGAGAGAGAGGCTTACCTGTGAGAGAGAGTCGATCGGTGTAGATTCAAAACTAGAGAGTAAGAGACTGTGAGATGAGAGAGTGAGAGAGATGAGATAGTGAGGGAGACAGATCAGAGAGAGACAGATCTCATATATTAAAAAAAAACACTAAAGATCGGGGAGAGAGAGACATAGACAGAGATCAGAGAGAGGGGCTTTACCTGTATGCGATGAGGTCGATCGATCGGTCGATCTTGTGAGAGAGAGGCTCGATCACTGAGTGCGCAGATGAAAATCGTGAGTGAGAGTGAGAGAGAGACCGAGAGGAGGAGAGGAGTAGGAGATAGGGTTCTGATGAATGAGTGAGTGAGTGGGTTTGATTAGATTAGGGTTTTTCTTATTTTGGACGATCAGATTTGAAGGGGAAAAAAAGAGGTTATTTTGAACGGTCAGATCAGATCAGGTTAAAAAAGAAAAAGAAAAAGAGTTTTATGCGGGCGGGTTGGGCAGGTGCGGATCAAACCCGCAACCCGCCCGCAACCCGAAATTTACATAAAATCCAAACCGCACCTTACCCTAATGTGTTTGCGAAACCGCCCATATATGCGCGGTTCGGATCGGGTAGGGTGGTTTGGGCGGTTCGGATGACCCTATGCCCAGCCCTAAATCCCACAATCCTTCCATATTCATTGTAGAATTCATATGCAGCTTTCTCCGAATAAAATTCTATTCCAATATAGGGCATGGAATTCTTGGCCAACTCCTCAAGTGCACCATCTTTCATTTCGGCACTACTGAATATAAAGTCTAATAACAATAAAAATAGCACGAAAATAACATCAACAATAAGATATATTACCACAATCACGTTCAAAATTTGTAGATAGAAAAGATTGGTCCTTGGAAATCAGATAGAATAATAGACCAATAGTCTATTGTCAAAAAATGTTTTGTATTTAGTGAAAATTCTCTCAAGATCTATTTATTTTTATATTTTTCTTGTATTTTAAGAGTATTTGTTAGAAAAATTTTGAAATAATTAGACCATATATATTAAATGATGGAACTTGTCATAAAAACAACAAAGGAACATATGTGAGAACCAAAATGCAACATAACACATCTAAGATTTGTGAGGGGAACCCAACTACTATATCAAGATTTCAAAGAGCATTGGCAGTTTATTTACAATTAAAAATTGATAATTAAAACATCAAAATCAACAGCATCTGTTCCTTAAACTATAGGAATTAAATTACTTGTTTAAAAACTTACAAAAACATTGTTATGTTTGTTTGGTTTCATTGCTAATGCAAATACAGCTGGTGTTAACTGTTAATTTATATTCTTAAAAATTACTAATTGAAGTCTTTATGAAAGGTACTGACATATACCATAACAGATTTTTATACATATCAAATTGTGAAGTTAATTTAACATAGCATCAATCCCTAATTCAAAACACAATAACACATTCCTATAATAACAGAGCATCAATTTAAATTAAAAAAGATCATAAATTTTTTTAACTTACATTATGTGAAAAGATAATGAAAATGCCAACACTTAAATCACCATATAATAACAGATTCGTATGCATATCAAATTGTAAAGTTAATTTAACAGAGCATCAATTCCTAATCCAATACATAATAACACATTCCTACAGTAACAGACCATCAATTTGATACAAATCACTATATACATACACATATCAGAATCCTATAATATTATATTTAAATCCCCAATCCAAAACACAATCTCTATTTGATATGAAAATAAATCACCATATATATATATATATATATATACATAACAAATTGTAATAAATACAATATATATGTTCAAACCTGAGTGAAGATTCTTACAAGGCAAATAAGCAACCTCAATGATAATGGTGATGGTGGAGCTACGGTACGACAATGGCGAAAAACCGTCGGAGCAAACGGTAGAGGAATAACGGAGTAATGGTAGAGAGACGGTAGACAACCCAAACCCTTCTCGCTCCTAATAGACCCACGTTTTGGTTTGAATCATTGTTTTGTATTTTACTTATAGCAGATTGTAAATTTTTTTTATGCTAGAATACAGATTGTAATAAATATAATATATGTCCGAAATATTAATGAGTT